TAGACTAGACCAAGTAGAAGTCAGAACATCAGATAATGAAGACAAAGTTTATCAACTTGAAAAGAACATAGTCAACACAGAAAAGATGCTTAAATCTCATGAGCAATCTATCCAAGAGATATGGGACCTCATCAAAAAACCAAATTTGAGAGTCATTGGGATAGAAGAAGGCACAGAGGTTCAAACCAAAGGAATGGACAACTTATTAAATGAAATAATCCTAGAAAACTTCCCAGAGATGAAAGATGGAATGGATTGCCAAATCCTGGAAGCCTACAGGACCCCAAACATCCAAAACCGTAATAGACCAACTCCAAGACATATAATTATGAAGATAGCCAACATACAGAACAAGGAGAGAATATTAAAAGCTACGAGAGAAAGGAGGCAGATTACATTCAGGGGTAAACCAATTAGGTTAACGGCTGATTTTTCATCACAGATTTTGAAAGCAAGAAGATCCTGGAACAATGTATTTCAAACGCTGAAAAATAATGGATTCCAACCAAGAATACTGTATCCAGCAAAATTAAGCTTCAGATTTGACAATGAAATTAAAATCTTTCATGATAAACAAAAGCTAAAAGAATTCACAGTCAGAAAACCAGCACTGCAAAGCATTTTGGGCAAAATTCTACAAGAAGAGGAATGGAAAAATAGTGCCCAAAACTAACAGTGGGAGGTATCTCAGTAAAGGGGGAGGAAAATAACCAAAGAGTAAAGACTAGCCAAACTAAAATAAATAAATAAATAAACATGACTGGAAGTACAAACCATATTTCAATTGTAACCTTAAATGTTAATGGACTAAACTCACCAATCAAGAGACACAAGCTAGTAACCTGGATCAAAAAAACAAATCCAACAATATGCTGCCTTCAGGAGACTCATATGATAGGAAAAGACATACACAGGCTGAAGGTGAAAGGTTGGGAAAAATCATACCACTCACAATGCCCTCGGAAGCAAGCAGGAGTGGCCATACTCATATCAAATAAAATCAACTTCAAACCTAAGTTAATCAAAAGAGATAAAGAAGGACACTATATCCTGTTAAAAGGAACCATCCACCAACAAGACATAACAATTATCAATTTGTATGCACCAAACAATGGTGCGGCAAAGTTCATAAAACAATCTCTCCTCAAGTTCAAGAGTCAAATAGACCACAACACAATAATAATGGGTGACTTCAACACATTGCTCTCGCCATTAGACAGATCCTCCAGACAAAAGCTGAATAAAGAAACTATAGAACTCAATGACACAATCGATAACCTAGACTTAACCGACATATATAGAATATATCAACCATCATCAAGTGGATACACGTTCTTCTCAGCAACACATGGATCTTACTCAAAGATAGATCATATATTATGCCATAGGGCAACTCTTAGTAAATATAAAGGTGTGGAGATAATACCATGCACCATATCTGATCATAATGGAATGAAACTGGAAATCAATGATAAAAGAAGGAAGGAAAAATCCTGCATCACATGGAAAATAAACAATATATTACTGAATGATCAATGGGTTACAGAAGACATAAAGGAGGAAATCAAAAAATTCTTAGAGATAAACGACAATACAGACACAACATATCGGAATCTATGGGAAACAATGAAAGCAGTTTTAAGAGGGAAATTCATTTCCTGGAGTTCATTCCTCAAAAAAAGAAAAAAACCAACAAATAAATGAACTCACACTACATCTCAAAACCCTAGAAAAGGAAGAGCAAAACAACAGCAAATATAGCAGAAGACAAGAAATAATTAAAATCAGAGCAGAAATCAACGAAATTGAAACAAAAAAAACCATTGAAAAAATTGATAAAACTAAAAGTTGGTTCTTTGAAAAAATAAATAAGATCGACAGACCCTTAGCCATGCTAATGAAGAGGAGAGAGAACTCAAATTACTAACATACGGGATGAAAGAGGCAATATCACAACAGACACTACAGAAATACAGAAGATAATTAGAAAGTATTTTGAAACCCTATATTCTAATAAAATAGAAGACAGTGAAGATATCGATAAATTTCTTAAGTCATATGATCTGCCCAGATTGAGTCAGGAAGACACACACAATTTAAACAGACCAATAACAAAAGGAAGAAATAGAAGAAGCCATCAAAAGACTACCAACCAAAAAAAGCCCTGGACTGGATGGGTATGCAGCGGAGTTTTACAAAACCTTCAAAGAAGAATTAATACCAATACTTTTCAAGCTATTTCAAGAAATAGAAAAAGAAGGAGCTCTTCCAAATTCATTCTATGAGGCCAACATCACCCTGATCCCGAAACCAGACAAAGACACTTCAAAGAAAGAAAACTACAGACCAATATCTCTAATGAACATAGATGCAAAAATTCTCAATAAAATCCTGGCGAATAGAATACAAAAGCATATCCAAAAAATTGTGCATCATGATCAAGTAGGATTCATCCCTGGGATGCAAGGTTGGTTCAATATATGGAAATCAATAAATGTTATTCACCACATCAATAGACTTAAAGATAAGAACCATATGATCATCTCCATAGATTCAGAAAAAGCATTCGACAAAGTACAGCATCCCTTTATGTTCAAAACACTAGAAAAACTAGGGATAACAGGAACTTACCTCAATATTGTAAAAGCTATATATGCTAAGCCTCAGGCTAACATCATTCTAAATGGAGAAAAACTGAAGGCATTCCCGCTAAAATCTGGAACAAGACAGGGATGGCCTCTCTCGCCACTTCTATTTAATGTAAGTCCTTGAAATACTAGCCAGAGCAATTAGACAGACAAAAGAAATTAAAGGCATAAAAATAGGAAAAGAAGAACTTAAAATATCACTATTTGCGCCCTTCTCGGTCTATTCCCTGAGGACCTTAAAAGAGCATACTATAGGGACACTGCCACATCAATGATCATAGCAGCACAATTCACAATAGCTAGACTCTGGAATCAACCTAGATGCCCTTCAATAGATGAATGGATAAAAAAAAAATGTGGCATTTATACACAATGGAGTATTACGCAGCACTAAAAAACTACAAAATCATGGATTTTGCAGGGAAATGGATGGCATTAGAGCAGATTATGCTAAGTGAAGCTAGCCAATCCTTAAAAAACAAATGCCAAATGTCTTCTTTGATATAAAGAGAGCAACTAAGAAAAGAACAGGGAAGAAGAGCATGAGGAAAAGATTAACATTAAACAGAGACAAGTTGGGGGAGAGAAAGGGAGAGAGAAGGGAAACTATATGGAAATGGAAGGAGATCCTCATTGTTACACAAAATTACGTATAAGAGTTTGTGAGGGGAAAGGGAAGAAAAAAAACAAGGGAGAGAATTAAACAACAGCAGATGGGGTAGAGAGGGAAGATGAGAGGGAAGGGGAGGGGGGATAGTAGGGGACAGGAAAGGCAGCAGAATACAACAGTCATTAATATGGTATTATGTAAAAGTGTGGATGTGTAACCGATGTGATTCTGCAACTTGTATTGGGGGCAAAAATGGGAGTTCATAACCCACTTGAATCAAATGTATGAAAGATGATATGTCATGAGCTTTGTAATGTTTTGAACAACCAATTAAAAAAAAAAGATTGTTTTGGCTGTTAGGGTTGAGTATTAGTTTAGCTATTCTAAACTTTCATGTGAATATTAATGTAAACTTGTCAATTTCTGCAAAGGGGCAGCTGGAACATTGAAGAGGACTGATTCATTTATAGATCAATTTAGGGAGTGCTTCTACCTTTATATCAGGTCTTCTGATCCATGAGATAACTTTCCATTTATTTAGAAATTCTCTAATTTCATATAATAATGCTTTGTATTTTTTGGTATACAAGATTTGCCCTTATTTTAAAAAATCAATTTTTAAAAATTTATTCTTTCTGATATAATGAAGTAGTTTGCCAGATGCCCTTTAAATAAATTTTCATTTCTAGCATATGGTTCATCCTAGAGAATATTGCTTGCTTTCTTGAGAATATGTATTTAGCTGATGTTGGGTAAAGGATTTTGATGAATTTGCTGTCTAGTTAATTTAGAATGGTATTTTCAAATGTTTTGCTTCTGTGTTTTCTATGTGTTCTATTATTGATTGCAGTATATTGAAATTTCCAATTACTATTATCGAATAACCTATTTTCCATTCATTTATTTCAGATCAGTCTCATGTATTTTGGGACTCTATTATTGAGATATGTTTAATTTTATATAAATATATAAAATTATCGTATCTTTCTGAAGTACTAAACATTTAATCATAATAAAGTGCTCTTTCTCCAGCAAACTTTGTTTTGATTCTAATATGCCAAATACTGATAGACACAATGTTCTCATGGTTGCTGTTTACATGATATGTATTTTTCTTTCTTTCAAACTATTTGTTTTGTTTCTTTGAATATAAATCATGTCTCCTGTGGATACATATATATGTTGGATCTCATTTCTATTGGTTTTATAATCCAGATTGACACAATCCATGCCCTTTTATGGGACTTTTAAAATAAAATCACACTTAATGGTATCATTGATAAAGTTTGTGTTTGGGGCTGAGTTGTGCCCCAACAAATTAATTTTAAAAAACTTAACCCTCAGTACCTTCAGAATTTGATTGTATTTGGATGTAGGATTTTTAAAGACATAATTAATTATCCTGTATATTTTGTTTACTTCATTATAAATAAGGCCAGAGCCAGTTCATAAACCAACATTTACACTATTTGGGTGGAGCTCTAAAAGTGTCAAGGCGCTAGCACGAGCATGCTCTAGTGTCTTACAGTCATCTCCATCACAACCACCCAAGCATTGGCAGTGGACATAGTCAATGCAGAAGACAGCACAATGGGAAGAAACATATTTTTATTCTTGCAGGGATTCACAGACTGGGGTAGGGAAAGGTACTGAAGGTGAGGGGAACAAATTCAGCAGGGAACAGGGGATATTGTTTGGATGGGTCTTGTTTAATTTTTGACTTTATGGTAATTTCAGGAACTTTAGCTGTTAAACTTGCAAACAAAGGACATATGAGCCTCACAATTGGTATCCTTCCATAGCTTGAATCCTGTAAAACCAATGAGAAGAGTTAACCTGGGAGAATCAGAAAAAGTGTAACCCACCCAACTCCTTTCCTGACTCTAGGACTCAGGAGAAGGAACCAAGGGGAAGGATGATTCCATTTCCTGGATGAGGAGCTCTGCTTCCTTTATCCCCACAATCCTAGGTCTTTTCCCAGAGCTAAGCAGCAGAAGAGGACGACAACCAATGTGTGGATTCTCTGCCTCTTACCTGATTTTGCAGTCACGCTTACACAGTAGCCACGGTTAGCAATGTTTGGGGATCCAGGGGCCCAGGCTTTGTAGGTATACAGGGACCCACTGCTCCAGTGCCAAAGGTGGATCTAGTGGGAAAAGACGAGATAATTCAGAAGTAACTCAGAAAGAGATAGAAATACCTACCATGTGTGGACTCTCAGAAATGGGCCAAGATATATGACAAAATAAAACTCATCCTCCTCCTCAATATCGAATCCTTTCCTCTGCCCTAGCTCTAAGCTTATCCTTTCTTGGAATGTCCAACTTCTCCCCTTGCCTCTACAAATAACAAGTGTTCTGAATTTCATAGAGCTCCATAAAGGTTACAGAAAGCGGTTCCTGATATTTCCTTCCTACAACTCTCATAATTTGGGATAAATTCACCATTGCTATCTTGTTTAGTGTAACACCAGATTCCCCAAATGCCAGTCATAGATTCTCTTCTACTAGTCTTTTTATCCTTATAGTCTGAAAGGGCTCTGTTTTAAAACAAATAATAACAAAGTAGGTAAGAGAATGACAAAATCCATGAATGCCTGGAACACCCAGGAAATCGAATCTCAGCTATTTCCCATGGTCTCCAAAACTCCTCATGCATTTTAGGAGCCTGACAGAGGTTGATTTTTTTAAGGAAATTATACAAGCTGGTTCTTGAGTTGTCCGACTTAGTTCTGCCCATTCCCTCTCAAACGTGATCATTAGGAGAAAAAAATCAGTTGCAGACTGACCTTTTTGGGGTCATGGAGGCCAATCCACACACTGGAGTCTGTAGTACCACTCTCCTTAATCATTGAGGCCACGAAGTTGCCCTCGGACTGGGTGAGCACAGATACCAGGTGGCCTGCATGTGTGTTCTGACAGAAGAGCTGCAGGGGATAGAGGGGAGAGAAAATGGAGTACTCAATGGAAGAGCAAGATTTGAGCAGTATACTGGGTCCTCCTCCCAAGGGATGTGGCAGAAAAAGGACAATACAGAAAGGGTTCCTGATGATGCTGTCACTGACCACCCGCAGCCCTGTACTGGGAAGGTACAAGGTGGTAGGACAATGCAGAAGGGAATATTTCAGATGAGTTATCAGGTGAGTAAGTGATCAGTCTTATATCTCACTGAAGCCACCAAGAGCACCAGAAAACAGCAAATGCCTCTAAATTTGTGTGCACCCCCCTCCTACTTTCTCTCCTCACATACATCTGCTTCAATCCAGGTCAAACGGTCTTCATAAAAGTAGTAGCAGTGGGAGCCATATGAATGGGTGCCTTCTGGGCAGCTGATATGGTGAATGGGGTGGTGTTCCTCATAATCCTGACCTGGAAAAGAAGAGGCAATTAAAGGAGATTAACAAAGGCAGGGCAAAGACTGGAAGGTGAGGGTCGGAGCTTTTGAGGTTCCTTTATAAGAATATGAACATACAGTGCTGCAGGCACAGAGTAGCTGCCTACTTCTCTCCTCTTGCATCCTAGCTCCTTCTTTATCAGGCTTAATTTCCTTAAGACAAGACCTCTCAAGGAACTGGCTGATGATAGTTGTTCCAATTTTCCCCCTTCTTTTCTGGGGCTCTGGCTTCTACTTATCAAGCCTCTCTTTTGGGTTTCCTTACACAAGTCTCCTGTCTGTTCTCGATCATGTTAATGACCCCTCTTTGCACATAGACCTCCCTGGCCCCGCCAATCAGATGAACTAATTCCAGCTGCGGTGGTCATGCAAAAGGTAATTCTAAATTCTTCTCAAACTCCCTAACAAGGTAAGAGTGCCTGAATGGGGTTAAAGTAGCAATAATGATCATTGATAAATAACCTCTTATGTTGACTCCATCTTTCCCAGGTAGTGGGTGACTGGGGAGCTGGGAGAGACATAAGGTCCTAGTTGTAGTGGGCATGGGCATGAAAGCTTACCTTGGCTCAGAGACAGGAACATCAGGCATGTGATCAGCATCAAGCATGAGCTGGTCTGAGTCATATTGAGAAGCAGAGAGTCTCCTACTTCAGGAGCAAATCTACAATCTCTATTAAAGAAAACAGGAAAGAGGGTTCTAGAAATGGAGATCCAAAGCACCTATTATCTTTTTCAAATACCACCTCCCCCCACCCCCGAATTCCTGAAAGCAAGAAGACCCCCTGAGATACCCATACCTTCAAATACTTCTCTTAAGAGTTTATGCATTATACAGACCAAGTAACTGAAAGACAGCTCTGACTGTGGCTAAGGCTGATTCAGTACTTCTAGAACTTTAGGTTTTTGTACAAAAAACACCCTTTTATCTTCCCCAAGATGTTAAGTGGAGCAGGCTGTTTTAGAAGACCTCATTTACCTGTTGGCTGCGTCTGAATTGTGAGATCAGGCCAGTCAATGATAGGTCCTTTAGAGCAGGATCTGAGGAGCCACATTATGAGCAAATAAAGGGACAAGGAGTGTCACAGTGCCTACATAGGGCCATGTCACACTTCCTGGCATCATGAGTACCCTCCTTTCTGGTGTACTCTGGGAATGGTTACAGATGAGGTCCCCCTTCCCATAAAGAGGTTGGCAAATGTTCTAAATCAAAGGCAGGCTTTCTCCTTCCCTAGAAGCAATCAGATGCCCAGTTCCCATGGCCCTGGAAATCACAAGGGCTAATGAGAGGGGGAGAGCAGCAGGAAGAAGGAACAAGAGTGTGTGAGCCTGGAGAGGCCAGTCTGCAGGAGCCAGGGACAGGGGAGGCAGTAGGACAAGAGCATTCTTGATGAGGAAGTGGGTAAAGTAGTTTAAAAATCAAGTACATGTTTGACTTGTCCAGCATCATACTGTGAAAGAAAAGGTGGCGAAACACAACTCTTTTCTAGTTTTTTTTTTTTGACTCTACTTTTTTCCTTGCTTTCTTTTTAACATTGTGTTCTTCTCTCTCTCTCTCTCTTGTCTCTGAATATCTCCCACTTGCAGATTCCTGCTCAGGCCCTGTTTTGTCATCCCTTCTGCCATGTCAGTTTCCTGACAAGCCTTCTGCTTGTATAGCACTGTTATCTTCCTGCACTCTCAAAACCATGCAATCAGTTGAACATTGACATCTCACAAGCAGCTAGAAAACTCATGCTGTTCTTCTGTTAAGTACACTTTAAGATCAATCAAAGTCTTTTTTTATCTGCACCAGGTCATCAAAGTACTTTCATAGAATCTCCCTAATTAGACCTGCCCTCAGATTCTGACATCTGCTAAAATTTCCTATTGGTTATTTTAAACTTTAATATTTTTACCATTTTTATAAGAAAGCAAGTTCAGACCTGGGAACTCTTCTCCACAAAGTTTTCCTTAAGCATGGACTGAGATAGGCTTCAGATATACCAGAAGATGGCTTAAAATTTATTAAGATTCTAGCATTATCTAGTCCTTGGGTCCTTAGAGAGGGTAATTATGACTCACAGGAGGTCCAGGCTATGTCTCATATGCTTCTTCCCCTGGAAAGCTAGTGAATTAGTTTGTAACTTTGCTGTGTTTCAAATTTTCACTCTCATGCAGGTTATTGACTAAACTCAGTTTCTTTCAGTTGTACAGTGACAACATTGAGGTTCCCATTTCCTCACTGGCTGTTGGCCTTTTGGCAAAAGGCCATCTCCATTCTTCTGAACCATCAATGGGACCATGAATCATTTTGCTACTTTTAAATTTTATGACTTCCCTTTGTGCCACCAGTCAAAGAAAATTCTCAGATTTTAAAGGGTTCATGTAATTAGATGGCTCCACCATAAAAATATCCTCAAAATCTCCATTTTTATTGAGACCAAATCAACTGATTAGTGACTTCAATTGCATCTTCAAGAATTCCTTTGCCAAAGAGTCTAAAGGACTTGAGACCTGAAAATTTTCTTCTGTGGCATTGCATGTCCTTTTAACTAATTCTCCTCTTCTTCATCCAACCATCAGTTTCAAGGACTTGGAACTTATGACCCCTTCTTTTGATATCTTTTGAGTAAATACAGATTTTTCAAGTTATTCCTGCTAATCCTTATTCTTGACAGAAGCTGAATGAAAACCCACATTTCCATGCTAAAGAGCTATGAAAAATTCTACCCTTCTAGTCTAAGAATGGTTCTTAGGAAGATTCTCATACCAAGCATTTTCACATCTTATGTGAAACATAAGACATAAGTCTTATGTTGCTGGAGTATTTCTTGATTTTCTTTCAGTTTCTAGTGCACTGAATTGGACATGACTGGATTTTATGTTGCTTAGCTTGACTACATCCATGAGATGAATGATATCTCCCCATCTCCGACTCTCAGAGACTGGCTAGCTGAGTAAGGCCTCTCTTGAGAAGCCTCTACCCTTCTCAGTATGGAATCATTATCTAAGCCTTGACTACCCTTCTCTATGTGGTATATACCTCTTGATTTGATATGTTTCATTATTCAGAGTCTGGAAGGACAGGTAGAATTATAGAACAGAGATATGTTTTGTTTCTTATTTTTTCTCATCATTTTTTTTCCTGCCTATATTTTATTGCCTGCTTTCAGCAACCTTCTTTTTTTAAAATTTTGTTATTTTAGATATTTATGGCAGTATATTTTGACATATTTATACCATACATGGAGTACATCTTTTGCTAATTAGGATCCTAATTGATCTGATTAGAGTTTCAAGGATTATGTTGAATAGAAGTGGTGAAAGATCCCTGACTTGTTCTAGTTTTTAGAGGGAATGCTTTCAGTTTCTCTCCATTTGCAATGATATTGGCCTTGGGTTTAACATACATAGCTTTTATAAGTTTGAGGTATATTTCTACTATGCCTAGTTTTACTAGTGTTTTGAACATGAATGGGTGCTATATTTTGTCAAGTGCTTTTTCTGGATATATTGAGATAATCATGTTATTTTAGCCTTTAAATCTATTGATGTGGTGAATTACATATATTGACTTTCATATGTTGAAACAACCTTGCATCCCTGGGCTGAAATTCACTTGATCATGGTGCGCTATCTTTTCAACATGGTTTTGTATGTGAGTTTTGTGCAGGGTACAATATAGGGATTCAATTTCCATCTACTATATATGGATTTCCTGTTTTCCCAGCACCATTTGTTGAAAAGATTATTTTTTCTCCAATGTATATTTATGGTGCCTTTGTCTAGTATGAGATAACTATTTTTAATAATTAAGTTTATAAAATTATTTATAATTTATTATAAAAATAAATTTAAAAAATAAATATAGTTATTTATTTTTTAGAAATAATTGGACACAATACCTTTATTTTGTTTATTTTTATGTGGTGCTGAGGATCAAACCCAGGGCCTCGCCCATGCTAGATGAGAGCTCTACCACTGAGCCACAATCCCAGCCCCTAGATAACTATTTATGTGGGTATGTCTTTAATTTCATTCCATTATGATCTCATATAATACAAAAAAAATAGACAGTACCTGCATTCTATTTGGTAAGAGTTGCTTTCTGGCCTAAGATTTTAGAAAATAATCCTGGTCTATTTTAGAAAATAATCCACGTACTGCTGAGCAGAAAGTGTATTCAGTTATTGATGGATGAAATAGTCTATAATTATCTGCTAAATCTAAATTATTAATTGTATTTTTGGTTCTATAGCTTGTTTAGTTTTTCTTTGGAAAATCTACCAAGTAATGTTAGAGGCATGTTAAATTCACCCAGTAATATTCTTTTGTATTTTTTCCCCATTCTTTTACCTTCAGTCTATGGATGCCTTTACCTATAAAGTTGAGTCTCTTGGAGGCAACATATTGTTGGGTCTTGTTTTTTAATCCAATCTTCTAGTCTGTTTGTAATCAATCATTTACATTCAATTTTATTATTGAGAAATGGTTTTATTCCCATTTTGATTTATTTCTGGTTTGTAATTCAAATTAGTTTTCTTTGATAGTGATTATTCTTCTAGTGTAGTTCCTTCCCTTTGCTGGTTTTTAGTTTTTTTTCTCTCTCTTCATAAAATATTGAGTATGATTTTAGTGCAGGCTTTCTAGTTGTGAATTCTTTTAACTTTGTATATTGTGGAAGATTTTTATTTCATCATCGAATCTAAAGCTTAATTTTGTTGGGTGTAGTATTCTTGGTCTCCATCCATTTTGTTTCAGAGTTTGGTATACGTTGTTCTAAAACCTCCTAGCTTTGAGGGTCTAGGTTGAGAAATCAGCTGAAATCCAGATTGGTTTTCCTCCAAATATGACCTGTAATTTTTTCTTGTATGGTTCTTTGTAGTTTTGTATATTTGAGATCATGTAAGCCTCCTATATTTGATTTTCCATTTTATTCTTAATATTTGGCAAATTTATTGATATTATTTCATTGAAAAGATTGTTCTTTCTTTGAATTGTATTTCTTAGTCTTCATCTATATTTGGTCTTTTCTTATATTTGGTCTTTTTGTGTTATCCTATATTTCTTTAAATTCTCTTCATGGTCTCTTAACATCTTTTGTCCACAATCAATTTTATTTTCAAGGTTATATATTTTGTCTTTGTTGCCTGAAACTCAATTGTTCTAGTCTATTAGTGATACTTCCCCATTAAATTTTTAATTTGGTTTATTGATGCCTTCATCTTGAGGATTTTCATTTTATATTTTTTTAGAATCTCTTATTGATTTTTTGCTTCCTATATTTTCTAATTTCACTCCTTACATGATCTTTTACCTAGCAGATCAGTTTGACTAGTAACTTTCTAAACTCCTTCTCTCACATTTCTTCAACTGGGTTGTTGGTGGGTTCTGATTCTAAGATATTTTGGTTTATTTGGGACAATAAGTCCTCTTGCTTTTTCATGTTATTTGTGTGTCTACCCACCTAAAAGTATGGATCTAAGGCAGTGGAGTTTCTACTCTGAACTTAGAGTATCTCTGAAGTTTCCCAGTACCTCACAATTTAGGGGGAGACAAATATTAACCACCAAGGCAAATGAGATATAGCATCAAACCAAATAATTCCTACTATGATATGTATGATGTTGTCATAATAAACATAA